CAGTCCCTTCGGGATCCATCCTCATTCATCTTAATAAAGGTGAGGTAATCTAGACTTTTTTGACCTAGGCGACTTCTCTTCTCAGTGACAATACCTCCTGCTGCACTGAAGGTCCTTTCTGACAGGACACTTGAAGCGGGGCAGGCCAGAAGTTCTATCGCAAATTGGGATAGCTCAGGCCACAGGTCAAGCCTGCACACCCAGTAGTCAAGGGGTTCATCGCTCCTCAGAGTGTCGATATCTGCAGTTAAGGCTAGGTAGTCTGCTACCTGTCGGTCGAGTCGCTCTCTGAGGGTGGATCCCGAAGGGCTGTGGCGATGCGTAGGACTTAAAAAGGTCCGCATGTCCTCCTCCATCAACAACACGTCTCTAAAGCGTCCTGTCCTTGCCGGCGTGGTCATGGGAGGAGGATGACTTCCACCTCTCCCCCTGTTAGATTCCCGTTGTGCTGTGACATCACCCTTATACGCTGTGTAAAGCATACTTTTCAATTTATTTTGCAAATGCTGCATCCTTTCATACTTGTTGTAATTCAGTAACATTTCCACCACTTTCTGCTTATACCGGGGGTCTAGTAGCGTGGACACCCAGTACAGGTCGTTCTCCTTCAGCCTTTTTATACGAGGGTCCCTCAACAGGCACGACAGCATGAAAGACCCCATTTGCACAAGGTTGGATGCCGAGCTACTCATTTCCCGTTCCTCCTCCTCACTGATGTCAATGAAGGTATTTTCTTCCCCCCAGCCACGTACAACACCACAGGTACTAGATAGGTGACAACGAGCACCCTGGGATGCCTGTTGTGGTTGGTCTTGCTCCTCCTCTTCCTCCTCCTCAAAGCCACATTCCTCCTCTGACTCCTCTTCCTCACAATCCTCTTCCAGCGTTGCCGCAGGTCCAGCAAGCCATGCTGATAAGGCTGTTTCTGGAGGTGATGGTGACCACAACTCTTCCTCTTCCTCTTCACGCTCATCTACGGCCTGATCCAGCACTCTTCGCAGGGCACGCTCCAGGAAGAAAACAAATGGTATGATGTCGCTGATGGTGCCTTCGGTGCGACTGACTAAATTTGTCACTTCCTCAAAAGGACGCATGAGCCTACAGGCACTGCGCATGAGCGTCCAGTAACGTGGCAAAAAAATTCCCAGCTCCCCAGAGGCTGTCCTAGCACCCCGGTCATACAAATATTCATTAACGGCTTTTTCTTGTTGGAGCAGGCGGTCGAACATTAGGAGTGTTGAATTCCAACGTGTCGGGCTGTCGCAAATCAAGCGCTTCACTGGCATGTTGTTTCGCTGCTGGATATCGGCAAAGTGAGCCATGGCCGTGTAGGAACGCCTGAAATGGCCACACACCTTCCTGGCCTGCTTCAGGACGTCCTGTAAGCCTATGTACTTATGCACAAAGCGTTGTACGATCAGATTACACACATGTGCCATGCACGCACATGTGACAACTTGCCCAACTTCAATGCCGCTAACAAATTTGTTCCGTTGTCACAAACCACTTTGCTGATATCCAGTCGCTGCGGAGTCAGCCACTTTTCCACCTGTGCGTTCAGGGCGGACAGGAGTGCTTGTCCGGTGTGACTCTCTGCTTTCAAGCAAGTCAAACCTAAGACGGCGTGACACTGCCGTATCCGGGATGTGGAATAGTACCTGGGGAGCTGGGGGGGTGCCGTTGATGTGGAGTAAGACGCAGCAGCAGAAGAGGACTCAGCCGAGGAGGTTATGGAAGAGGATGGAGTAGGAGGAGTAGAGGAGGTGGCAGCAGGACTGCCTGCAAGTCGTGGCGGTGTCACCAACTCCTCTGCAGAGCCATGCATTCCATGCTTGGCAGCAGTCAGCAGGTTTACCCAATGCTCAGTGTTGGTGATATACCTGCCCTGACCATGCTTTGCAGACCAGGTATCAGTGGTCAGATGGACCCTTGCCCCAACACTGTGTGCCAGAGATGCTATTACTTCCTTTTGCACAATTGAGTACAGGTTGGGGATTGCCTTTTGCTAAAAGTAATTTCGGCCGGGTACCTTCCACTGCGGTGTCCCAATAGCTACAAATTTTTTGAACGCCTCAGACTCCACCAGCTTGTATGGTAAAAGCTGGCGGGCTAATAGTTCGGACAAGCCAGCAGTCAGACGCTGGGCAAGGGGGTGACTCTCTGACATTGTCTTCTTACGCTCAAACATGTCCTTGACAGACACATGACTGTGGGAAGATGAGCGTGAACTGCTCAAGGCGGGAGGCGGAGTGGCGGATGGTTGAGAGGGGACAAGGAGGACAGCAGTGGTTGACGTGGCTGAAGATGCTGACCAGGAGGAGGATGGTGGCTTTGAGTTTGTGTGCTGCTTGTACTCATGTGTTGATCCCATAGGCGTTTGTGATGTGCGATCATGTGCCTACGCAAAGCAGTTGTACCTAGGTGGGTGTTGGACTTCCCACTACTCAGTTTCTTTTGGCACAGGTTGCAAATGGCATCGCTGTTGTCAGAGGCAGACACACAAAAATTTATTGTTATTGTGACACCAGATGTAATTGGTGGCACTGACTGGGGAAATGGGCACTGTGAGCCTGGCACAGAAGCTGGCAGCAGTGGCAGACAACTAAGTGCATTTACATTACATAGAAAAAATAAATAAAAAAAAAGCATACCTTTATCCCTAACCTAGCTATGCTTTTCCCTATCTTATGAACAGCAGCTACACTTTCCCTCCTCTACTAAGCATGCAGCTTGAGAATGAATCTAAAATGGATGCTGTCCAGTAGGTGGGAGGGTCTGCTAGGGAGGCTGTGCTGCTAATTGGCTGGAATGTGTCTGCTGACTGTGAGGTACAGGGTCAAAGTTTACTCAATGATGACGAATAGGGGGCGGGTCGAACCGCTCATATGTTCGCCCGCCGTGGCGAACATGCTATGTTCGCCGGGAACCGTTCGCCGGCGAACCGTTCGGTACATCACTATTCAGCACTACAGAATGCCTCTAAACGTGCTAAAGTCCAAGCTGACAAACGGGGTTCCAATCCTGTCTATTAAGTGGGGGACGGGGTTTGGTTATTCACACGTCATTTCAAACTCCAGTTCCTTCCATGAAACTTGCTCCTCGATACATAGGTCCCTTTCGTGTCCTCCATCGGATAAACCCTATGACTTATTCCTTGGCACTCCCTGCGCATATGAGGATTGCTAATTCATTCCATGTGTCATTGCTTAAACCCCTCACTTGCAATTGATACACAAAAATGGTTGTTCCTCCTCCGCCCTTGGTAGTAGGTGATCAATAGGAGTACGAAGTCCGATCTATTTTAGATTCCAAGTTCTCTAGAGGTGTTCTGTCTTATCTGGTTGACTGGAAGGGATATGGCCCAGAGGAACGTAGTTTGATTCCTGCTGACCGGGTTCATGCTCCCAGTCTTGTCCGGTCATTTCACAAGCATTTTCCTCACAAGCCAGCTCCTTCCCGCCCGGTGAGTGGAGTCTTCGAGTTGGGGTACGGTCATGGCTCCCGGCTCACCACGATGCGCGTCTGTGCCCGACCTGCACGACCACACCAACATGCTGAGCTTACCTGCTTGGCAGCGAGCCAGGAACCGCTCCTCCACGCTGTCCTGGCAAATCCAAGATGGCACCGGCTCCACCCCCCATAATTATACAAACATGCACGTGACATCACGACGTCAACGCACGTTCTGGGGTCAGAGGTCACCCTCTGACCAATCAGAGCCTAGAGAGGGATATTTAAATCCCTGATTTCCCCCGGTACCTTGCCCTGTCGTGGTTTCTTGTTCCTGGTTCCCGAGAGTGCATTTATCCTTGTGATTCTGATATTCATGTATTTTGACCTCGGCAATTCCTTGTTCCGTTTTTTTTTTTTTTTTTGGTTCCCCTGTCTTGGCTTGTTAAAATGGTAATTGAGTATTTCTGGCTTCCTTGACCTCGGCTTTCCTTTGCCAATCCTGTCTATTAAGTGGGGGACATATTAAAGAAATATGAGACCGCCTACAGTCGTTTAGAGATATATAGGTAAGGGTACAACCCTATAGGTGAGGGGACTAGCCATACTTATGTGTCTGCAAGGGGCCCTGTAATGCTACATGTCATTGCGAAATCCAATTATTGCACAGATCCCTTACACAGTCAGTGTTGGATCCCAGCTGGACCACAGGGAAACTAACCTGACTAAAACATTAAATTTCAATATATGCATCGGTGTGTATCTGTCAGTGCCTGTATGCATTTGTTTGTGAGTGTGTTGGTGTGTCTGGCAGTGGGTATGTGTATGTTTGCCTTTGTATGGCTGTGAGGCACGTGTGTCTCTAGCATTTAGAATCACTGTGTGAGTGCATGGCTGTCTGGTAGTTTGTATATTATTTATTATTTATTATTTATTAATAAAATATTTTACCAGGAAAGATACATTGAGATTTCTCTTGTTTTCAAGTATGTCCTGGGTCCACAAATCATTGCATTGTTACATTAGGTACAACAAAATACAAAAATAATATTAATACACAATATATACAAAATTTAACATAGAACAGGCAGGAAATATATAATCAACCATAACACGTGCATTCTGTTTTGAGGTATGTAGAGAGGGATCTCTTAAAAGACTTTAGGCTTAGGGAAGATTTTAAATTGTGCGGGAGGTCGTTCCACAATTGCGGCGCTCTGTAGGAGAAGGAGGATCGGGCCGCTTTCTTTTTGTATTGAGGTAGACTAAGTAAAGTGCTTGTACTGGATCGGAGGTTATAGAAAGTGGGAACAGCTGGGGGAAGCATTTTGTTCAGGTAGGGTGTGAGTTTACCAGAAAAGCTCTTAAAAACAAGGCTGGAAAGATGAAGGGTGCGTCTGGATTCCAGCGACAGCCAGTTTAGTTCCTTTAGCATGTCACAATGATGGGTCCTGTAATTACATTGTAGCACAAATCTGCAGAACGAGTTATACAATGTGTTGAGTTTATTAATGTGGGATTGCGATGCAGACGCATATACTACATTCCCATAATCAATGATTGGCATCAGCATTTGCTGTACAATCTTTTCCTTTACTGTAGGGCTTAGGCAGGCTTTGTTTCTGTACAGGGCACCTAATTTTGGATAAAGTTTAGATGCAAGCTTTTTCTATGTGCAGGCCAAAAGATAGATTGGGGTCTAATATCATACCCAAGTATTTGAAAGAGTGGACTGCGGTCAGTGTGCCATTTGAATTTGTTTTGATGGATAGGTGGGGATTGTGTAATTTGTGTAATTTAGGTACCGTTCCAAAGATCATTGTGACAGTTTTGTCAGTGTTCAGGAAGAGTTTGTTTTTTGCGATCCACTTTTCTACCTTTGTAAACTGGTCTTGGAGCAAAACCTCAAGTTGAGGTAGATTGGATTTGCTCGCATAGATTACCGTGTCATCTGCGTACATGTGTACATTTGAGGATTGGCAGACATTAGGCAGATCATTTATAAATAATGTAAATAGTAGGGGCCGAGAATGGAACCCTGGGGAACACCACACGTGACCGGGAGAGGGAGGGAGTCACTGTCAGAAATGGACACATATTGCGAGCGATCCGATACATACGATTGAAACCAGTTTAAAGAACGATCACCAATACGTGAGTTTTTGAGTTTGTACAGTAGAATGTCGTGGTCTACTGTGTCAAAGGCCTTAGCAAAATCAAGGAAAATAGCTCCAGTTAGGGCTCCTTGTTCCATGCCAGTTTGGATGTCATTGCAAACTTTTAGGAGGGCAGTTGTAGTGGAGTGATTCTGGCGAAAGCCCGATTGATCAGAGGTCAGATAGTTTAATTGTTGGTAGTACTCACAAAGTTGCGTATGGACACATTTTTCTAAGATTTTTGACAATACAGGGAGCAATGATATTGGGCGATAGTTAGAAACCAAAGTAGTGTCACCACTTTTATGGATAGGCACTACTCTCGCAGTCTTCCAAAGTTTGGGTATGTATCCAGACACCATTGATTCGTTAATTAGAGTCGAGACAGGTTTAGCAATTGCCGGCGCACTGAGCTTCAACAGCATTGCTGGGATTTGATCAGGTCCGGACTGGTTTTTCATTTTTAGATTATTAAGATGTTTTTTAATGACACTAACAGGTACAGGTCTAAAATTAAACTTATCTATATTGGGCCTTAGCAAATTTAGTGGGGCCTGATCCACATTTGTAGTTTCAGGATGCGTGTCATTTATTAGCTTGGCAATCAGGGCAGTAGAGCATCCGACAAAATAATTGTTAAAGGCATTTGCTACATCTAAGGGAAGTTGCAGAGTTTGGTTACCCACTTTGACAGTGGAGGGTTGGGAGTGGATTGGGGGAGTTTGTAGTTTATTTATGACTTTCCAAAAGTTTCTAGGGTTTGAGATGTTACTGTTCAGATTTTCATAGAAATATTGGGCCTTGGCCAGTTTTGTCTGTTTTGTGCATATATTTTGCCATTGTCTATATGCACCGTGATCATTCATAGAGCCAGTACGCTTAAATTTTGACCACAAAGAATCCCGAAACTGGTACATTTGGATGAGGTCAGCTGTGATCCAGTTCATATGCGCTCCTTTTACCCTCACCTTACGCAGCGGGGCATGCAAATTCCAAATTTGTAGGAGTTCAGACTGAAAGTATTCAACAGCACAGTCTAGATCTGGGATGATGTTTAATCTGTGCCATGGGAGATTCTTGATGTCATTTAAAAAGGATTCAAGATTAAATCTTTTGAAGGACCTAGTTATTTTAACCTTGGGAGAGGATTTAATAGCCTTTATTTTGCGCACGCAGTACACTAAACAGTGATCACTGAACGTGTTTGGGAGAACACCAACCTCCTGGATTCTATCAGGAGAAGTGGAGAGAATCCAATCTAGCAGGGTATGGTTATGGCTTTTTATGTTTATGCGAGTTGGGGAGGAGATTAATTGCGTTAGCTGCAAAGTCTTAAACAGCGTGCAAGAACTATTATTTTTAGGGTTCAGCCAATCAATATTAAAATCTCCAAAGACCAACAGTTCACTTTTTGGGTTTTGAGCTATGGTTTCACTAAGGAGATGGGCTATGTCAGATAGGGAATGCACAGGGGAGCTAGGTGGGCGGTAGATTCTTGCAACAATGATTGATTTACTGCACGGGATCTCAATTTTGACAGAAAGGAAATCAAAGATGGCAGGAGGACTAAGGTTTTGTAAAGGGGTAAACTTTATGGAATTGTCAACATAAATAACAATGCCTCCTCCTCTTTGCTCTGTCATTTCTAAAACATGAATAACCCTGTATTGCAATGGCGGTGTCTGGTATTTTAGCCGTTAACCATGATTCTGAGAGCACAATGACTTTTGGTTTGTAATGGGAACACCAGGCTTGCAGTGCATCCAGTTTAGGGAGTAAACTATGGATGTTGCAGTGCACAAAAGAGAGGCCTTTTTTAGTGGGGAGATTAGGACTAGAATTAGCTGGGGGACCAGGGTTAGACTCCACATCATTTGCAAGGGCAAGTAACATAAGGAGTAGGAATTTGGACATCATCTTTGTTTGGCCATATAGTGAATGGGATAATTTATAATTTTGTGAGTTGGGGGTAGGAGGGCTATTTTTTTATAACTCTCCACCAGCACTCAGCAGATAAGTTAAAGGAACAGAGCAGGCCATGGTGTATTATAATTTGTGTTCCAGTTTGAGGTGCGTGCTTATGCTGGTAGTGGTGTGAACAAAATTGGATTGAGAAAAGGGTTATTAAGAATAACAGTATGGTTATATTAGGATTCGTGTTAGTGGTATGAGGTGTGTAGTTGAAAATGAAACAGAAATTGTGAGAAACTTATTTATTTATTTATTTTAAATAGAAGTATATGGTTTTAGTGTGTGATATATCTATTTGTAGTGAGAGAGAGTATGTGTTCTATAGGGTTAAGAGATTGAAAGGGTGTGCTGATCAGTGGTTGCACCTGTCATTTCAGTAGATTGAAAGTTGTGTGGGAGACTATCTATAAAGGAGACCATGGGGGGGGGGGGTCAGTCTTTCAGAAGGCTACCTGTTTCAAATGGCCATGGAACAGCTGATGGAGTTCTGAGTTCTATGCTGGACTGGGTATGTTTAAAAATCAGACTGTTTCAAATGGCCATGGAACAGCTGATGGAGCTCTGAGTTCTATGCTGGACTGGGTATGTTTAAAAATCAGACTGTGGGAGAGAGATGTATATTAGGGTCAGATGGGCTAAGAGATGGGGGGGTGCATAGATGGACATTTGATTTAAGGTCATTTAGGAAAAACAAAAGCAAAGATTGAGAATTACAGAGATAAGACAGAGGTATTTAAGTAGGGAAATAAAACCATTAAACAAGGAACAGGAAAGATATATGGGCCTGAGCTGGTTAAACTAACTTTTAACATGATGGACAAAGACAAAGGTGATAAAATACTTTGCATGATTAGCACAGGCTATAGTTACAAAGACATGAAAATGTATACATTGAAAAGAATAAAATAAATAATATATACTAAATATAAAAACATACACATACAACAAAATTAACAGGGTACATAGAAATATAGTGATATGTCAGTCTTCCAGAAGGCTACCTGTTTCAAATGGCCATGGAACAGCTGATGGAGCTCTGAGTGCTATGCTGGACTGGGTATGTTTAAAAATCAGAACATACAACAAAATTAACAGGGTACGTAGAAATATAGTGAAATGTCAGTCTTCCAGAAGGCTACCTGTTTGTTTCAAATGGCCATGGAACAGCTGATGGAGCTCTGAGTTCTATGCTGGACTGGGTATGTTTAAAAATCAGACTGTTTCAAATGGCCATGCAACAGCTGATGGAGCTCTGAGTTCTATGCTGGACTGGGTATGTTTAAAAATCAGACTATTTCAAATGGCCATGGAACAGCTGATGGAGCTCTGAGTTCTATGCTGGACTGGGTATGTTTAAAAATCAGACTGTTTCAAATGGCCATGGAACAGCTCATGGAGCTCTGAGTTCTATGCTGGACTGGGTATGTTTAAAAATCAGACTGTTTCAAATGGCCATGGAACAGCTGATGGAGCTCTGAGTTCTATGCTGGACTGGGTATGTTTAAAAATCAGACTGTTTCAAATGGGAATGTGTGTGTGTATATGTGGGTTGGTGGGGGTTTATCAACTGTTTTTGTAAGGGGCCATAAATGTTATGATGGTAACAGGAGTTACTTTGCTATTTTTAAAATTTATTTTGTGAATATAGCAAAAATTAAAAAAAAAAATGCAAACTGAAGCTGTGTCCTTAAGAATTTAATTATGTAACCATTTACACTGTCAGCCAATTGCTTGTTTGCTATAAGTTTTTTTTGTAACCGTTGCACATTTACAGCCATAGTATTTTTTTTTTTTTTGTTATATAATAAAGAAAAATAATATGCAGAATGTGTTCCTTGTCCTGATCCTTCATTATTAACTCCTATCTCAGATTTCAATGGACCAACAATTTCACTTTTAACTTTTTTAAATCAATGTATAAAAAATAAGTAAAAAAACAAACACTTTGGGGGGGGTCGTGGCCTGACTGTCATGCTGGAAGGACGCACAGTGCATCGGCTCCTCAGCATTTTCTCTTAAGTAGTAATTAAACTACCTTTACAAGCTGAATTTGGACCCTGGCAGAAGTTAATCTGAGAAGGGAAACTTGTGTGCACCTTCTTGTGTGAAAAATCAGCTTCCATCCTGTTTACAGAGCGTACTATCTGGCGGTCAAGTGTTGCGGCCTGGTGTGGGATGTTGGCGGGAGAAGCAGCCGATCTCCTGTTCCATGGCCTGCCTGGGTCTGTAGCATTTCAGGTCCTGTACTCCCCTTCTGCGCGGTGGGGCTTATCCCAGCCCGACTTGCATAACGAGGCATCTCACCTCGCAAATTGCTCTTCGCAGGTTGTCTGCCCCACATGTTCCTTATGTGCAAG